TATACAAAGTGTATAACTCAAAAATACTATAAATATATCAAGAAAGAATCTTACAAATTGTTTAAGTATAGCACTAGTAGGAAAAGAGAAATAGATAATGAGAAATGGCGGGGTTGCAGAAAACAAAAAATAAAATAGCAGATTTAAGTCTTAAACATATCAATAATTACCTTAAATGTAAATGGTCTAATATACCCATTAAATTCAGATATTTGCAGAGTGGACACAAAATTATAACCCAGCAATATGCTATCTATAAGAAACTCACTTCAAATACAATGAGACAGGAATGTTGTAAGAGGATGAAAAAAAGGCATACTATGCAAACACTAACTTTAAAAATGCAGGAGATATTAATCCAGATAAAATAGACTTCAGAGCAAAGAAAATTACTAGAGACAAAGAGACGTTACATAATGATAAAAGGATCAATGAACCTAGAAGACACAGTGATGGTAGATATATGTGCACTCTCCAAAAAAAAGAGCCTCAAAATGTACAAAGCAAAAAATTGATAAAGCTGAAAGGAGAAGCAAAGAAATCTATAACCACAGTTGGGGATTTCAACATCCCAGTTTCAACAACTGAATTACAAGATAGAAAATCAGTAAGGGTTTAAAACTGACCAACATAATCAATTAACTAGATCTAATTGACATATTCAGGACATTCTATCCAACAAGAGCAGAACAAATTTTTTTTTTAAACAGACCATGAAACATGTACCAACAGATTTATGTCCTAGGGCATAAAACCTCAACAAATTTAAAAGAATTAAAATAATACAGATTGGATTTCTGACTTTGACCTTAAAATCATTAATAGGAAGACAAGAAAATCTGCAAAAACTTGGAAGTTAACACATTTCTAAATAATCCATGGGCAAAGAGGAATTCTCACAGGAAATTTTAAAAATCAATAAAACTAAAAACAAATATAGAAAAATGTAACAAAAAGTGGTTTATTTGGGAAAAAAATCAATAAAATTGACAAACATGACTGATAAAAAATGAAAAAGATATAAGATACAGATCATCATTATCAGGAGTGAAAACAAGGTATTAGTACAGCTCCTGCTCTCATTAAAAGGATAATAGGGACTATTACCAATAACTTTACACTAAAATATTTACAACCTATAAGACATAGAACAATCCCTCAAAACTTACAAACTATCAAAACACAATCAATGTGAAATAAATAACCTGAATAATCCTATAACCATTAAAGAAATTTAATTAGTAATTTAAAAACTAAAAACAAATCTCCAGGCACAGATGATTTTACTAGAGAATTCCATATACTTACACACAAAAATCCTCAACAGAATATTAGCAAATCAAATCCATCAATGTTTAAAAAAATTACAAGCCATGACCAACTGAGAGTTATTCCAGGTATGCGAAACTGGTTCAACATTTGAAAATCAGTCAGTGTAATCCAGCATACCAACAGGCTAAACAAAAAATAAATCATATGATTATATAAAATGATCCAGAAAAAACATTTGACAAAATCCAATACCATTAAATGGCAGACACTGACAGCAAACTAGTAATGGAGTGAAACATTCTCAACTGATAAAAAGCAGTCTACAAAAATCTACAGCTAACATTACAATTAATGGTAAAAAAAAAAAAAAAAAAAAAAGATTTACTTCTAAGATTGGGAATAAGGGAAGGATATCATACTCACTATTTCTATAAGTTCTAACCATCACAGTAATGCAAAAAGTGGGGCACACAGATTGAAGAGGAAGAAATGGAATCGTCCTTTTTTGTAGATGATATGATCAAGTATGTAGAAAATCTCAAGGAATCTACAAAAAAATAAATGAAATAAAAAACTGAAGAAGTGAGTTCAGCAAGGTTGTATACTATACAATCAATATGCAGAATTCAATTATATATAGAAACTAAAATTTAAAATATAATGACATTTATAATTGCCTTTAAAAATCAATGTTTATGGATAAAACAAACAAAACATGTACAATTTCTGCATCCTGAAAATTACAAAATGTTGATGAACTAAATCAAAGACATAAATGTTCATGGGTTGGAAGACTCAAAATAGTAAAGATGCCAGTTCTTCCCAAATTGATCTATAGGTTTAATGCAATTCCTATTATAACATCAAGGTGTTTAGTAAACATCGACTATCTTTTTAAAAATTCATATGGAAAGGCACAGGAACTAGAATAGCTAAAACAATTTTGAAAGAGAAGAACGAAGTGAGAGGAACCACTCTACCAGATGTTAAAGCTTGTTAAATAGCCACAGTGGTCAGTGTAGCACCGTAGGAATGATAAACACAAAGATCAGTGGAACTGCTTGAGAACTCAGAAAGAGACCCATACCCATATACTCAAGTGATTCTTTTCAAAGGTGTAAAATTCATTCACAGGAGGAAGCATAAACTTTTCAACTAATGGTGCTGGAACAGTCATTGATCTCAGAGAAATGACAACTTATGTTCATACAAACACCTGTACAAAAATGTTCACAGAAGATTTATTTATAATAGCCAAAAACAGGAAACGTCTCAAATATCCTTTATATCCATCAATGGGTAAATGGTTAGACAAACTGTGGTACACCTGTACCATGAAATACTACTTAGCATTGAAAAGGAATGAACTACTGATACATTCAACAAGTTTAATGGATCGCATGCAAGCTGTGCTGAGTGGGAAAAAAAAGCCAATCCTCAAAGCTTATATACTGCGTGATTCCATTTATATAGCATTCTTGAAATGACAAAATTATAGAGATGGAGAACAGATTAGGTAGCTGTGACTATAAAAGGGAATCACAAGGAATCCTGTATCTTGACTGTGGTGCCACATGGTCACATGAACCTACTCGTGATAAAATGGCATATAACTAAACACACGTGCGTGCACACACACACACACAAAGTGAGTGCATGTATAACTAACCATCGAAGTATGAATAAGGTTGATGGATTGTCAACTTGCGATACTGCATAATAGTTATGCAAGATGTTACCACTGGGAGAAATTAGGTGAAGGGTATGGAAATCTATGACTTCTTATAATTGCATGTAAATATATAATTATCGCAAAATAAAAAAGTTAAAACAAAGGAATGATCCAATATATATATCAAGAGCTACAATCATAATCATAACTTTCTGAACTAAAACTTGGTAACTTCAGTTCAAAAATCTTCAGTCATTTATCTACTTAACACCCATATGAGGCACTGTGCTAGCTGATAGAGATTCAGGAGTGAAAAAAGCAGATAATATAAAATATGAAATATAAAAATAGCTCAATGCCTGAAAAAGATCATTACATCTTCAGTCTACATATGAGAACTGGACTCAAATGTCTAACAATCAGAGAAAAGTAAATTTTGGAATATTATACACCCATTAAAAATGATGACTACTGTTTAACAGAATGGAAAATGCTTATAACATTAAGGAGAATACAAAATCATGTATTTGTTAGTATAATTAATGACAACTTGTTTTTATATGAATAAACTTTTATTAAATTTTTGATAATTAGAAAGAATAAAGAAATGCAAGATAAGTGCTTTCTGAACAACATCTGAAAGTATCATCTTTTCTGTGTCATGGTATTTTCACTTTTCTTTATTAAAAAGTATAGACATTCATTTATTTAAATGTTTACAAAGCCAAGAACCATCAAGTGGAAAAAATAAGTAATGCTAAAGTAAATTCAGCTTTTCATCAATATTGGAATGGTTAGGTTCTGAGCTTAGCCCTCTTGGAAAAATAATGTATGCAGCAGCTGTTGGTTTCCATTTATTCAAATAAGCCTAAAAATCAGTAGGCCACCCTTGTGATGACTGTGCTTGCAGGAAAAGAGGGCAAAAAGCATAATGGGAAAAAGAAGAGACAACATTGGGAAAAGATGCTCTAATTGAATCACAGGGTCAGTATCATAATTTATGATAAATTATTTATCAAAAAAGTCTGGAAAGATATCATTTGTGTGTTACTTAAAGTGTGATTAAGGCGAGATAGTCATCAATAGAAGTATGGCCAGATCTACACAGCACAAAATAGACTGGAGAGTTTGTAAATTATCTGGTGAACTCCAAGTCCAGCCACACCAGGTAATTAATCACAAAAGAAGCTTCTTTACAGTGGTGTAAAATGCATTGGGGCAAAATTGCAACCCTGAGTTCTGACAAATACAGCGCAGACTCTCCCAGGAGCATATCTGAAGACATCCCTTTTGTCTTAGTTTCATTTCTTTTGCAAAAATAATTATTTTTAACAAAGCAAAAACAATTCTTGCCCTGCTTGTAACAACCTAACCTCTACTTGTCACACAAGGAGAAATTACCTACCTCGGTACAAAAGGCATCAGGTGCTGCCCTCATTAACAGTAACCCAGTGTGACAGCCAGGAAGACCTGCACGGTCTTGCTCTGAGAGGCTGCCAGGAATGCTACAGTCCCTTAGACCCGCCTTCCTGCTCCTGTGCTGCCCACACAACCTAGCTTTCTCATGAAGCACCTTCTGCCCGGCTCAGTGGATACAATCACTGAACATGGTGTTAACGATGGTCTTTTCTTTCCCGGTCCAATGCCTCTTATGTATTTTTTTAAAAAATAATAGTTTTCTTAAAAAAAAAAAATTTCCAGGAAATAATGAACAGTAATTGTCATGATCCTGTAGCAGATCTTGAAAAACAAAGACAGGCAAGAATCTGTCAATATAGCAATATTCCAAATATGAAATTCATGGTTCAGGAAGAGATAAATAAATAAATAAAGGGGCTTCTCAAATAATTTCTTTTGTTTTTCCCCAGTTCTTACTGAATTTTGTTTGTGTAAAAAGTCTGGATTCTATGATACAAGAGCAAGCCCTGTTGGGACCAATAGTAGCCATTCCTGCCATTAGCCCTCCACATAAAGAGCGAATGGGGAAAGGCAGAGGATATTCCAGGGTTGTTCATTATTTTTCTAAAGACATCTATCTTTTAAAATAATTTCATTATTTAAACTCCATCTGGCACTTTAGTCACTTGAAAAATTATTAAGTTAGGCATGAATTAAAGAACAAACCCATCTGGACTGCAGTTTTCGTTTTAAGTGCTATTCTGCTCATATCTTTTTCCTTGGCTTGGCACATCTTTGAGATACAGCTTATTGAATAGAATCCTGGGACATGTGTGGTGGGGAAACAAAGTCTTCATGACAGAACATTCCAGTTCATTTCACAAATCCCAGTGGCCAGGTAACAGCATTTGTCTTCTTCTTTGTGCTTTTTACTAGTATCATTATAAGGAAAGTGCTTCTTTCCCAATACTCGCCCACCACACCCACATCCTTCTATGGGGCATTCCACTGATTCTTCTCTGAACACTGTATTTGCTCATGTCCTATACGAGGGACCCGGCCCGACTCTGGGCTGGCACCATGACAGGGACGGCGCCAATTCGCTCCAGCATTGCTTGGCTGATGGTGTAGGAGTGCGTGTGCTGAGGCCGAGGCTTCGTGCTGACTGAGCCATTGCTCCTGGACATGACCTGCGGTGATGACCCTCTGTTGGCTGTCACTACCAGAGTCTTATGTGAAGCTGGGACCAGATGGTTCCCATTAGCATAGATGGATGGTATGTTGACATTGCCTGAGTGCACAGAGAAAGACTGATGCAAGTCGCCGAAGTGGTTGAATGACTCCGTGTTTCTGTGAACTTTCGGAATGTTGCTCCAGTATCGACTGTTGTAGGTATTAGAAGAGGTCAGTGTGTTGTTCTCTGAGGAGGATATCTCGGTATGAAAAGCTTTGGCAGAAGAAGAACATTTAGGTGGAAGATCATCCTCTCTGAAAAGGAACAAAATGTAGTTGTCATTAGGATTTACTTGAGGTTTACCCGACCCTCTGCCCAGGACTCTTTCTTCTACTTTAAGGCATGTCTGTGAAATACAAGGCTTCAGGAAAGGCCACACTGTCATGACAGCAAGCATAGCAGTCCTGGTGGCTTTGGCTTTGGCATTCATTCCCTTTGAGACAATGTGCAAGAAAATTGTCCCCATTTCTCAGTCCCCAAGAGTAGAAAGGGTAATTTCAAATATTTTCAATATAACTGAAAAAAATACATGTATACAAATTCTTTTTTTGTTTTTGCTCTATATAGGAAAATAGTCCATGAAGAAATCCACTGAGCTAGTGGCTGGAAAGCTCTGGGAGTGGGGAACGTCAAGAAATGGTTAGAGTTCTTATTGTACTTGGGCGTTTGAGAAATCACTGTGGTGTGCTGAAAGAGGTTTTCCTGGTAATCTTACGCTGAGATGAAATCTGTCCATTTGCAGTCCAAACTCTTATGAATTATAAAAGACTAAGTCATTAATTTAATTTAAGATGTTAATTCTTTCATTTAACATTTACTGAGTACCAGGCGTTCTAATAGATGTTTCATGTGGAAAAAAAAAAAACACACACAGCTTCTATAACCAAGAGGCCTATGGTCAAACGGAGTTGACAAATGCAAAAACATTTGCGAGTCTGAAAGGATGGGCAAGGGGCTAAAGTCAGCTTATGTGAGGAAGTAACGCCTGGACTAGTCTTGAATCGGATCATGAAACTGACTGACAAGATGAATGAAAAGAGAAGAAGTTTAGTCCAGGAAGAGGGTGGACGCTTGAGCAAAGGCCCTGAGGCATGGGAGAATGCAAAATAGACTGGAACACGAAGTAATCGGGGAAGTGGTGAGCATAAGACCAGGGGACCAGGGGTGGGTCAAATCCAGAAGGGCTGTGTATGTCATGCTAAGTAGACTGGAGTCATTATTTTTAATAAGGACATGACATGGTGCAGTCTGAGATATTGAGCCTGAACTCCCATATCTCCACAATATGCCAAGAGTCACTTTTCTTTAAAGATCCTTTTGACGTTGTCTCCTTAAGATGTCCATATTCTTGATGGTACTCTCTTTCACACTGAACCATAACGTTCTGGCTTATCTGTATGTAGACAGATACTGGTATGCTCTTAAGGTATTCCTTCTTGCTTTATGTTCTCATCTATTATATGTGTCAGTGTTAAACATGTATTCTAATCTAACTTTTCTACTCTGGCTACCACCTAACCCCACTTACCCTGGAGATATGGAAGGAGAAGGAAACATTTTTCACTCATGCCCTCCTAGTCCTCCCCTTTCATGATCCAGTAAATAAAGCTTACTAGTACCATGAGGAAGAGCGACATAACATACAAGAAAATATCATTTAGCCATTTTAACTATCTTGGTCATGACACTCATAAGATTAGCAAAGAAATCTCAGTTGCCCAAATGAATAGAAATATAGACACTGGCTAAGCAGGACAAATGATCTGACATACAAACCTTATTTCATTAGGAATTTCTTCTTCTTCCTCCTCTTTATTTTTGCTTCTCCAGTAAAAGAATGCCCCTAAAATTAGTGCAATGCAAAAAATGATAATAACTGCACCAGTGCCAATGGCTCCAGCTATTAGTCCAAAGTTCCTGGGCTGGGCTGCAAAATACATTTAAGGTATATTTAAAGAACAAAAAATTAAAAAGAGAGATAAATAATATACACCCATGCAACTTTATAAACATGTAAGTTTATTAAAGAATCTTCTTAAAATGTACAAAATTACCTAAAGTATTGCATCCATGTAAAGTTAAACCTCACTTAACTTTCTGTATCCCCAGTAGCTAGGACTAACACACGGTAGGCTCACATTTATTTAGTGAATTAACAGAAATTTTATAACATGTATAGTACTATACAATCAGGACTGATTTGATTCTAATGATCCTGAGAAAGACATTTTTGTCATATAGAGGTCATATTGCTGAGGCTGAAATGTATAATAATGCATTTCTAAAATATCTTCAAAAATGTTTAACACCAAATGTTTAATCTTCAAACAATCTAAACACAAATAAGTAGAACTCTTCATTCCCCAGTTTAACAAAGATCTTGGTGTTTCAGACCTAGAGTGGACATTGGAATTTTATATACTTACGTGAAATAACTTGGAGATCTAAAAGACAGGTGCTGGTTCCAATGGCATTAGAAGCCATGCACTGGTACAAACCTGAAGACAGAGCACTGATGTTCCGGATGGTGACTGTTCCCTGGACCTGGTCTGTCACAAAAATAAAAACCAAAGAAATAAGAAGGTAAGACTATAAAAATAGATAAACACTGAAGAGGTGTCAATAGCTTTGCTTGCAGAAATTTTAGAAAAACTAAAATCACGACATTGCATTAAAGACCTAGAGCTATTGAGGACTGTCCTAAAAATAAAGGCAACCTTTCAACTTAATCTGCAGATTAGTGTGAGGGCCTAAATGTGAGTAGCCTTCCCAGAGGAGACAGGGGCTAATGCCTATCCAGAGAATTTACAATCGGTAACACCAAATTTTAATTTGGAAGAAATGTGATAACAAAGATGAAGTTAAATTCATTACAGTAATGATCACTTCATACCAGATGGAAAAATATCTACTCTGTGCTCAAGTGTATAGATTGTTATTCCCTTCAACAACTGTTATAACTGTTTAAGTCTAGACCCTCCAAGAGGCAGATGCCAAGACAAGAAAGAGGTTTACCGGAGGCTATGCCAGGAAAGGAAATGGAGAGGGAGCTGGAGAAGGCAGGGAGAGTCTCAGACTGAAATGCAGGTCTGGCCCTTATGAAGGGGAGAGGGAAGGAAGGAGGGTGGGGGAGGAAGAATCTTGGACTGCAGCACAGTGTTATGGAAGTTTCCACTAGGCTGATGGGGAGTCCTTGAGCCAAAGTCACCTGTTAAAGGGGTCCCACATCTTGTAGGAACAAACGTACATGAGTAGCCCCACTGTGCCCAGTTACTGGCTGGGAGCTGCCCAGGAGGAGCTTGGCCTGGATGTAGAGCAGCTGCTTATCCTGGAGGAAGCAGCTGGGGCTGTCAGTCAATTACGTTCGCCACATGGGGAGATCCAAGCAGTGCAGTTTCAAGGCCACCACACTGATGCTACCAAGAAATGTTTCAGTAGTTTGCATTTTAGTGATTTATCAACATTAGCACAGCTTGATTATTGCTTATAAATAACATGCAAATAAATACCTTACAGTAATTAAAGTTAATAGTAATTAAAAGCATTGGCTAAGCTTTTATATGTATTATCTCAATCTTTAAAATGACTCTGTAAGGCATTTATTATTATTAATCCCATTGAACAAACAAGGAGACTGAAGCTTTAAATGAGAAATAAGATTACACAGCTAGTCACTAGGAACTGGAATTGGATGGAGGGTTGTCTTAGTCTGAACTCTAGGCTTCTCGGCCTCCCTTAGGCAGAACATAATACATTTAGTCATCTCAACCACTCAAAACAGCTGCAAATCTAGGAGTAAGTGGAAATGGCTCCTAATGGCACATTTCTCACACAAAGTCCATGTATTTTCAACAGAGACACCTGGAACTAGCACCACATTGAGCTGACTTATTTTTACATGGAACTAAGATTTAGATACCTCGTTTCTGCTGCTGGCAACCTCCATTTCTATCTAGATCAAAGGCAGACACGGAGAAAGGGGGCAGCAAAAGCAGACCTGATCACTGCATGCATGCATTTATTTATTCAGATACTTAACAAATAAATATTTATTGGGCACCCTTCTGTCTGCTGGGTAATTTCTGAGGATGCTGATACATGACAAACAAAACAAACCCAGCCCCTTATGTTAATGAGACAAGCAAGCAAGCGATCACAAGAAATGGGCTCAGTGTCAGCACTAGAGAATCCTGGGTGCTGGGGAGCACATAGGAGGGGCAGCTAATGAGGATGAGCAAATTCTGAAAGATCTCCAGACGTCGATAGCCCTCAGGGTTCTCTCTCTGCCTTTCTAACACAATGCAGCAGACAGTGTTAAATGACTGAATCATCAAACACACACTGGAATTCACTTCAATATATAGTCCAGGGAAAGGAGATTTGTTTTCCACTTCCCATTTTTTGTTTTTTAATGGGAGCATTTAAAGGGTCAAATCCATATTATATGGAGAACTTATCCAGAACAGGATCCTTGGTAAATTTGGACATTTGGATTGTACTGCACACACCCAAGTCAATATACTTGGTTGGCGCTTGTATATATTTATTTCCTTAAAGACAAACAAACCAACGGGTACTAGACTTATTGGGGTTATGACTTCGCAAGTTATGTAAATGTCTAATCACTATGTTGTATACCTGAAACTAATATAAAATTGTATGTCAACTGTAATTTTTTTAAAAAAAGACAAGAAGAAGAAACAAACTCTGAGGGCTGCCAATGTGCAGGAGCCTTTCAGTGAATTTACTCAGATACTTGGGTCAGTCCAGGGAGAAAAAGTCATCTCCTCCTCTATTCTGTGTTCTATTTGATTTCCCAGACCCTCACCAAATGTCCCTCCTATGTGCTCCCTAGCACCTTGTTCTCTCTGGTGCTGGCACTTGGCCCATTTATTGTGATTGCTTGCCTAGCTGTCTTATTAAGATAAGGGTCTGAACTTGTCTTGTTCATCACCGTATAACCATCCTCAGAAATTATCTGATGCACAGATATAAGGGTCACCTTCTCTTTAGTGCCTATTGTGCACCACATGCACTGTACTAACAGCTTGATGTGTCTCATTTAATCTTCAAATATTAGGTATTATATTCTCTACTTTTTAAAGATGAAAAAGCTCAAATAAGCTATGCAATTGTTCCAAGATCACACATTATGTAAGTAGCGCAGTCTATAAAAACTGGTCTGTCCATGTCCAAAGCTTATAATCACCATACATATACTTGGATTTCTAGTAAGGCATTTAAAATCACAACATTCTATTGGCTGCATCTATGGGATATTTCCTAAGCATGCAATGTTCCAGTGCTGTTAGTATTAAACTAAGCCATCTGCCTAACTCCATCTTCAATACAGTACCAAATGTCATCCTTCAAGAAAACCATACTCTGGGCAACTAACCCCACAATTGAAATCCTAGGAATTTGATCAGCTCACACAAAACCAGTACTTTCATAGGCACTTTCATGGAGATAATTTGGGAAATTTTAAACAGCTGATGTAAACAGAATTCTGGGCTGCAGAAAAAGGTGAACTTTGAAGATTCTTGCTTTAAGAAGTTATTTTTAAAAGGTGAAATCACTTTTCTTCCATGTGTCTTTATAGACACAGACACCATGAGCAAATGGATATAAGAAAGTATTTTTTTTAATTTATTTTTTGTTATGGTGACACTGGTTAACGAAATCTAGTAAGTTTCAGCTGTACACTTTAACAGTAAGGCATATATTTACACTGTGTGTTAACCGATCATAGATTTCTTTCTGTCACCATGACATACCATGCCTGAGCTAACTCAGAATGTAATCAGGGAATGAGAGAGACACATTGATAAGAGAGGATTAACCAGAAGCAGAAGAGGGCTGTTTGTGTAGTCAAGGCAGAATGGACATGGAGCACGTTTTCAGCAAGCACCAGACTGTTTCCAGCCACAAGCACATGGCTCTTTCAGAAACAAGATGGGGATGGGCTAATTCCTCAATCTGTCACTTCATTTGGCCTGCTCTAGCACAGAAGTAATTTGTTGAAATGAACTTTGAAAATAAATGTTCTTTTGATCTTCTTTCTTTTAAAGAATAGAGAAAGTTCAGTAGTGTGGAACTATAATTTGAAAGCATGCAAGACATCACATCCCACTCTGTTTTAGTTTGCAGCAACACTGTATCCCATACAAGCTATGCACCTGGACTAAAATGCCCTTTAGAATTAGAGAGAAAGGAATATGTGTACATTTCCACTTCCATTCTCTCTCCTTAGTCCCAGAAACACTTGTGGATGTTTTCTAGACCCAGAGAGGCTGGGCTGCAAACTGCCCTGCCACCTACTAGCTATGTAGTTTTGAATATGCTACTTCTTTTTCATTTATGTTTTCATGTCCTCATGTGTGACATGGAGCTACCAATGTGACTCCACATCATAGGTCACTGTGAGGACTAAATGAGATAATGCAGGTAACAAATTAAGTATACTATCTGGTAATGCTTTCCTGTGGAAATTTCTTCCTGGTATTGCTTGGGAAATTTATGTATTTTTCTGAATCATATGAAAAATCAGTCAAAAAATTGGGAAAATGTCAAATGTCTCCAAATTTCCAATAGATATTAATACTCAGGATTTGACATTGAAATCGGAATTCTTATATCATAAATTATTCTATATTTTACACAATTTATGTATTTTTAATAATAATGAGTGACCATAATAATAAAGTGAGTCATTTCTTACATAAAAGTTTCAGAAGTATTCTGTAGCAAATAATAATATTAATAATAATAATAAATGCATGGTTGTTATTTGAATCAATGTCAAAATTATATATTTCAATAATATGTAAAAAATGACCCTAACCTGATACATTTGATAATAAAAAAATAATAAAAACAGAATGGATCGTAACAAAAAAAGCCTAAATTAAAATCTATTTAAAAATTCAAAGATAATATCACAAATGCTTAATATTTAAATTCTGTCATTCTAAAACTTTAAAACAGCATACAGCATTAAGTGCACTATCCAATAGTCTTGATCTTTGTTTCATGCCAAATTTTCCAGACATAGAAAATTTTATTTCATTTTTGTTGATGTTGATTGAATTAAGATATAGATGGAGAAAAGACAGGGAGAGAACCTGTACCCATTAAGAGAATGTTCAAAGGGAGACATTAGGATATATGCTGCTTCACATAAGCTCATTTCCTGCATTTGACAAAAATATTTTGTCTATTTGCCCTGATTTTTGTTTTGCCATTGAAATACATATTGCTTTTGCCAATACAGATTTTAAATCCATTTCTGATTTTAAGTCAGTGTATTTCACATCAACATTCACGTCTTGTTCTCTTCACATTTCTGTCATTAAAAGAACTGAAATCTACAGCAAATGTTCAAGCATTGGAAAACACCTATTAACATTACTGGGAAATAGTCGCATAATGTAATACTTGGATCCCCTGGTATTAACAACATTACATAGAATAACACATCAACATTACCAAGCTAAGGACTTATTTTGCTTCTGAATCTGTTACTTCTTGGAACACCCTTCATGGCATT